CAGAGAAAGCCTGTAGCCAGGTAAGCCACACAGAAGACAGTCACAGTACCTCAGGATCCAAAGGAGACAGAGTCTGTGAAACATGGAATGCAACTTACAGCTGACCCCTCAACAAAGTGATGGAGTGCACTGGGCTGCGGCATTAAACATCACCAAAAGAAAAAGACTCAAGGAGTCTTTCCTGGTGAGGAAAGGGGCAAACTGAGGGATTCCCTGGGAGTTGCTAGTAGGGAGGCAACAGGGAGAGGTTGGTTTGCTTTGACCCACAGTGGGTATGGAACCAAAATTATGTGTGGAGGTTTAGCTCTTCATCATGGGTTCTGTTTAATCCATGAAAAAAGTGATCAGAATATTTTCAGCATGTTGAAAAGATTTCTGAGTTACTTGTCCATAGTAACATTGGTTTGAATGATACTGATTCCTAAGCTGCCACTGTTAAAACAAAACAAAACAAAACACCTTCTACATTCACAGAATGAAGCATTAGATTAGACCATATAACTAAAAATATGCCTAAAAGAGTGACTGCAGGAACAGTACACTCCTCCCAAGGGAATGCCACTCCATATGCATGGAAATGCCATAACGAAATTCATTGCTCCGTGTGCTTTTAGAATTAATTTAAAAACAGAAAAGAACATTCTCAGACTATTGTGCAGAGACCCTGGCATGACCCTGGGGATCCTTGAGAACTAGTGCTGACTACTGTGCTCTAGAGCAGCTCTGGACTGGCAGAAGAACACTGTGTAAGAAGCCCTCACTGACAAGCTCTGAGTGTTGGGTTGTTTTCCACGGATGTTGCTTTTCAACCTTGATGACTGGCATCTAACTCATAAAATTTTCTGAGAATACTCCTAGGCAGAATTTCTATTTTCTGCTTTCATTGCGGCACATTTTAATTCCTATTGTGATTAATCACTTCGTTTTTTCCTCACTGCTATGGCCTAAATGTCTTTTACTGACATTTGACAGTGTGAAGAGGTATGTGTAAGAATTAATTAGACTCACGGGGCCTGGCGGCACATCCCTGTAGTCCCAGCACTTGGAAGGCAGAGGCAGGCAGATCTCTGAGAGTTCAAGGCCAGCCTGGGGCTACAGGGAGACCCTGTTTCAAAAAGACCAAAAAAAGAAAGAAAGGAAAAAGAAAAAGAAAAAGAAATGATTAGACAGAATCCTCATGAATAAATTTCTGTGGTTGCTCTGGGAGTGGGTTCTTGTAAAAGACACACTAGGCCTGATTTCCTCTCTCTGTGTCTTGAACTTACTACTTTCCTTTCAGTCATGTCATGACAAAGCACAAGAGCCCTCACCAGATGTTAGCATCATACTCTTGGACTTCCCAGTCTTGAGAATCATGAACCAAATAAACCTCTATTGTTTATAAATTACTTAGTCTCAGATACTCTGTTATAGCAGCAGGTGATTGACTAAGACAGTGTAGAATCATCTCTTATGATGATATATTTCTTTTTCAGCAAGTATTAACCACACATGTTGTATCTGAATCTTTCCTGTGTTGTTTCAGGATAGCATAAAACTGAGGGTGATTATGAAGATTCATTTGTAAAGCCAACAAATACATGACCAGCTAATGCAGAAATGCTACTTGAGCCCATGGTGTGGTCTGTAAGAGGCCAGGCCCAGATGTCTTGCCAAATGACAGTGACCATGTCCTCACCAGGAAATAATCTTACTGTGTCTTGGCCACATTATGTTTATTCAAAGTGGTCTTAGCTACAAGAGCTGCCAAGTTTCAGGATGAAACATGAATGCTGGGCCTCATTGGGAACATCTGCTTCTCTTATGCTCGTAGAAGTGCGTGAGAAGCAGAGAAAACAGTCAAGTGGCCACATGCAGTCAGAGTTTAGTTTTTACCTTTACTGCCCATATGGCCTAGACTACCAACCTCTCTAACTTTTGTTTCCTCATTCCTGAATGCAGTACTATATCCTGGGTTCCTTATAAACTTGTGAAAGTAAAATCAGGTTGCGGATGCAAAACTGCTTTTTTTAACCGCAAATCTCTACACCAGTACAGAACTCTTAATATTTTCTCATTACACAATAATATTTATTATTATCACAAAATCCAAAGATCCAAAGTGTACAAGATTTTTAAATTCTCTCCAGCAATCTTAAGTTCCAAGAGTGACCCCATTTGATAATTTGATACTTATCTTTATACATTTTATGAATGTGTGTTTATACATGTGTGTATAAAATATGAGATCATAACCTACTAACCAGTAGAATACTGTCTGGAAACTACTGTCAACTGTAATATACTGATATGGAGAAATTATATTGCAAGTGAGAAGTCGCAGAACATGATTTAAAATTTTATTTAGATTAATTTATGTGTATGAATGTTTTGCCTACATGTATGTAAATATACTACATGTGTGAAAGGTTCATGGAGTCCAGAAGAGGGCATTGGATCCCCTGGAACTGGAATTACGGATGGTTGTTAGCTGTCATGTAGGTGCTGGGACCCGAACCTGGTTCCTCTGCAAGAGCAGCCAGTGCTTTTGACCACCAAGCCATCTCTCCAGCCCCAGGCCCCAGACAACATTTTAAGTATCATCCTGTGGCACACATATGAGGTTCTTTCTGAGAAGCATGTATTACAAAGGAAGGAGTAAATGTTTTACTTTTTATCTCATATAGTTTTCTACCATTGTGATGGTTTATCTTAGATATATTTTCATGAAAGTTACTAAAGACTGGAAGAAAAAGTGGAGCACAATTCAAAAAAAATTGGAAAACATATAATACTTCTGAAAGGGAAGATTACACAAAAACAAACTGGAAAATGAAATAAAGGAAGCAAAAATAAAACTAGACATGGTGTGTTTTCAAAGATACTCTTTTAGGGAACGGAAAAGACATCACGACGTTTCTCCTGCCAAGTTTGTTGTTAAATGTGACTCCACACAGGATATGCTATCTACTGACTAGCTCCATTTCATGGGGAAAGGGCAAACCGAGTCGGTACAGGGTTTGCCAGGGAGGAAGAAGGACTAAGTCTGATAAGTGTTCACTTGTTTTACAGTTTAGAGGTTTCATATCTCATTTTTTAAAAGAAGAAAGCAGTAATAAAGTCAGGAGATGGGCAGAAATTATTAATTAATGAAAGATCTTAGCAACTTCAAGTAACAGAATTCTACCTGTAGTCACCACAGCTCTCACCAAGACTTCACATCCTTTCCATCAATAATCCTCCCATGTCTGTGTACAAAGCACAGATTTCCTGTTTTGGTCACCAAGAACCCAATTCAAGTTCACACCCATCTGCTTCTCCTTTAGTGACCTCAGTCTCTTCACCTGCATTCTGGCTCTCTCCGGCCCCACTATTTCATTTTATTTTTTAAACCCTTAAAAATGCAAAATTTAAAAAGCCAGTTCAGCTCGCTGCAAAGCTAAGAGGCTAAAAGGTGCTGCACATTATCCCTCCTTCATTTGCCTGGTTACCTTTACAGACGCCCAGTGGGGCTGAGGTCTTCTTCACCTCAGTCCTCCATACACTGTTCCTTCTGGCTGAAATGCTCTGCTCATACTCTACACTTCAGTGTCTCAAAGCTCTCCTGAACCCCTAACTTCCCTAATCTAAATCAGATCACAATTTGCATGTTATTATTTGAATGTCTTGTTTTTATGTAGCTTCCCTACTCTTTTGAAGCCGTAGAATATCTGAGAGAGGGGTTCATAATATTCTTTCTCTCTCCTTTTTTTTTATTTGTTCTTGTTTGTTTTGAACTAGGGTCTCCCTGTAGTTCCCGTTGGCCTAGAACTCACTATATAGACCATGTGTCCTCAATCCAAAGTGTGTTAAAGATATGTGCCACCACACCTGGCTTATTCTCTCTCTCTCTCTCTCTCTCTCGCTCGCTCGCTCGCTCGCTTGATTTATTTTCATTTTATGTGTATGAGTATTTTGCCTTTATGTATGTATGTGCACCACATGCATACAGTGCAAAGGAGGTCAGAAGAATGTATTGGATCCCCTGAAACTGGCATTACAGATGGCAATAAGCCACCACGTGGGTGCTGGGAACTGTGGGTGCTGGTTCTCTGCAAAAACCAAACGTGCTCTTAACTGCTGAGCCATCTCTCCAGCCCTTATCCTGTGTATGTGTTTTAAATTTACCATAGTAGACAGTTGTAAAAAGTTTCCTCTGATCTTCAGATCTAAAGAGATCATTATCTACAGTCACCTAACATTTTTTTCAAGTTTTGGATTTTAAAAACATTTTCCTAGGCCTGGAGAGATGCTCAGTGGTTAAGAGCACTTGCTGCTCTTGCAGAGGCCTGGGTTCGATTCCCAGCAAGTGCATGGTGGTCTTACAACCACCTGTAACTCCAGTTCCAGGGTTCTGATGCCCTCTACTGGCAGTGGGCATGCACACTCATGCACAGTGATGTGCACACTTACATGCAGACAAAAACACTCATACACATAAAAGTAAAGTTGAAGCTACTTTTTTTCTTTTCATGATTAGTTTTCATATAGTAACCATATTAGATTCATAAAATGTCATTGCATTTGAATGATCATAGTAGACTTAGCTACAAATACACTGTGCTGACCACTATAGCACAGAGCGCATATGGCATTAGGGCTACAATGTTGTAAATTTTAGGTTCCTAATAAGCTGTCTTTGGGGAGGGGACATTGAAATTAACATCAGATAATCTAACAGAAAGATCTGAAGTTCAAGTGTTCCTTCACTGTTTTGGCTACTAATGTCTCTTATTTGACAAGAAGCCTAGAATAGGGATTTAAGACTTTCAATCTAGATTACCACTTTGGGTAAATCATTTTCCCTCAGTTTTGTTTATTTAACAATTAATTTAACAAAGACGTTAAGTTTATCTTTTGATTTCAGATCTAAAAAAAAAAACCCTCACAATTTGAAAAGAAAAAAACAACTATAAACCAGACCAATGTTTTTTTCTTTTTTAATATGAAGAAAATATTCAAAATAGTTTTCTATTCATTTGTAAGGTCAAAACTAAGGACCGTTGCTTATATCAGAGGCATCTACAAAGTGGAGGACAGGGATCACTGCATCTCCCTCAGCAGATCCGAGACTGTTATTCTTCTCCTTTCGGTTCACATACTTGTGCAGCATGCTGTAGAACTGGTCCTTTGGATTGAATGTATACAGCAACGAGATTTGCTCCCAGTCTTTCCTGCTTGGTGTATTCCATTCCTTGGGATCCGAGCCCTCAAAGAAACATCTAACGTTCTCTTTTGCCAATTCAGTTGCATGCTCTGTGGCTTGACTCTTCAGGATCTCGCGTTCCTTTTTCGAATAGATCCGCCAGAATTTCAGCTGCTGATAACTAACCGGGGAGAGGCACCGGCTGACAGATGTGAAAACCGTAAGGAAGACGATGACCGCTGCTATCAGGATCCAGCCCAGCACCTAAAGAAAACACAACTTAGTCACGCTTTCAGTTAGGAATTTAAAGAGCCTGGGATAAAGTCTAAAGTGTTCAGTAGTTGCGATGTGAACATGTCTTGTCAAGTCCGTTAGAGTAAAGCCGGGTCTGCAGTAACTCCGTCCAGTCTTCCCTCCCCCGCCCCGGGTACACCAGCACAACTGCAGTGTTAGAAAATCAGCCATAGTACAAGCTATGTCAAGGACCCAGAGAGCAGCTCATATGTCACCCTTAGAACTGAAAACGTGGGATTTTTTTACTAATCTAGAGATGGGGCACCCATTCTACTTCATTCTAAAGAGCGTCTGGGACGGTGTAAGCGGTGGGCTTAGGCCTGGCAAAGTTGTTTTATTGTAATATACAATTTCCCCTAGTCTGAGGATTCGCTATAGGGGGCACAATTCCCCGACAGAGCTTTAAGTGAATAACTCAGAAGGCACACAGACCAGGTTCGCCTACTCCCGTTCTCTCCCTCCGCCGCGTACTCTTCCCCATTTCCTTTGTGCTATTTCGAATTGGCTGTCGCCCGGCTAGAGAAAAATGACCGGTTTCTTCCCGGTCCCTCTACACTTCGCCTCCCCGCAGCGCCGAGCGCCTGACCTGCGACTGAGCCTTGAGCTCGGTCAGGATGTCCTGCACCTTGGCCTCGGCCTTTTGGCAGGGAACCAGCGGCATCTGGGCAGCGCAGCTGGAATCCCGGCCTGCGCACAGGCGCCGCACCAGGTGCACGCTCCCGCTGGCCGCGCACTGGTAGAAGGAGCCTCCGAGCAGCGCCACGGCCACCCAGGTGACGGGCGCGAGCGCCGCGGCCCAGCTGATGTGAGCGCACACCAGCGCGCTGCGCAAGCGACAGCAGCAGCGCAAGCGGGCGCCCGAGGCGCAGCAGCCGGTGAGCAGGCGCCAGGTGCGCGCGCTCAGCGCGTAGCCCAGGATGAAGAGCGCCAGCGCGGGCACCAGCAGGAACACCAGGCCGTACGGCAGATTCCAGGCGGCGGTGCACGGGCACTCGAACACCACGGCCGAGAAGATCTTCTCCATGCCCGCCGTCAGCAGGGTCACCAGGCCATAGCCCAGCGCGTTGTGGTGCTTCAGGTGCAGGTTTAGCACCGCCTTGAACTTCTCCATGGGTCCTGCTCACTCTGGACTCCCCGGACAGGCTTAGAACCTTCTTTCTGTTCCTTGCCCTGCTTGTCAGGAGGATTGAGAGGGCCGGGGTCTGGGACTTTCCGCTCTGCTTGGTAGCAACTTAAGAAAAGGGAAGAGGGCTTTTCAACCTTTCCGGGGTTTCACTTTCTCATTTCAATCAAGTCAGCGCCCTGGGATCCCTGATCTCCCGTGGACCTACCCCTTCCTGGAGGCTGAGGTCTTGGCCACATTGTTCTCCCAATTCCAGAACCCTGCCAGAAGAGATACCCTAGTCTGTTGGTTCCTCCAACCCAACAACAAACCTGGACACCACTGACCTTGTTGATAGGATGTTGCCACTTGAACAAACCAGCAAAGCCACTAAATTTCCCTCTATTGCAGTTACTCTAATTCCTAAGCCAACTTCCAATTACAAAAAAGCCACCATTTACAGGAAACAGAGACACATTTTAAGTTTTTCTTTCATAAGCTAAGTCACAGCAAAGCCCGGAATGAAGTCAAGTTCTAGTTCTGTGATGCTCTGTCCTTTCCAGCACCCTCCAGGACAGAACCACCAGGTTAGTTCACATTGACTATCCCAAAGGATGCATTTATATTGTCAATTTAACTCATCAAATAATGTATTCTCTCTTTACATGTACCCCTTAGCTGACCACAACGAAGGTGTCCACACAGAGTCTAAATGAACAGTTCATAATGAATTGGCTGCTCTTGGTGGTTTTATTTTCTTTGGGAGGTATAAGTAGCTTATACTTTTACAAAGTGAATTTTTGAGGTGGGCCAAACCCATCTTTTCTTAGTTCCACTTGCCTTCTAACCACTACACTCTCCACCATCAGCGACTAGTGTGACACCTGTTGGGGTTTGGATCTACAGCAACCCCCTCCCCAATGCAACAGGGCCTCACTGTTTTGCAAGCCCTCTGAAATTACAGGGACTGAATTAATGAGCACCCTGACCATCTATAGACAAGATAAACAGACTCTCTACACCTTTGACCCAAGACCCAATTACTGCAAAGAGCCATTTCAGCACAGCCTGCTTCCCCTTTTATAATCTTAGAAGGCAAACAGGTCCCTACACTCCAGACCACTGATGTAGGAATTGTCTCAGTACAAGCTGTATCCCCCCTGATAAGTTTCACAATGTATAGACCCCTTATCCCATGACCCAGATCCTGGCTGATGGAAGGGGATAGAAGGGGGTGGTTTGACAGAGGCTATCCTCTCCTGATAAGCCCTGGACTGTCTTCCATGCTTGGTTTGAGAAATATCTTCCCACCTTCCGCATCCCCCAAAACCCCCTATAAAAGCCCCCAGCCAACAGCCTGTACACTGACAGCTCCTCTATCCTGAACTGGGGAGTGTCCCGTACGTTTTCTCTACCAATAAACTCTATTCCACCAGAGTTCTTGTCTGTGTCCTGGTGCTTTCTCCCAATTTGACTTGATTTACCTACCAACACCTAGCACAAAAGCTCAGAATGATGTGATAAATAGCTCTTTTTTTCCACATGTCTTAGAGGCCAAATCCAGATCAGGATTTTCATTATCTTGTAGGATGGCTAAGGCTAGATTCTCTGCATGTTTGAGGTAAATCAGCTCATGACTTTTATCCCTGTAATCCTCCATCTTTCAAAGCTTCTTCCTTTGTATCCTGTGAAACTTTCATCTTGTTGTGAGACTCCTTCACCTTTATCCCATCTTGTAAGCTGTTTTCTTCATCATCACACTTTCCACATTCCATCAGGAGTGAATCTCACTTTGTCCTCCACAACTTTTGTGCAGGTGACTTTATCCAAGTTTTCCTTACCTGAAACAAAACAAAAATGTAGGATTCCACCTTCTCGACTAGGGTTTATTTATTCTCCTGTATTTCTGCTGTCAAACTAAACAAGACCAAACCCTACTTACCTTCTGAAATCAGACAAGATCTTCCCCTCCATTACTGGGAGGGAAAGGCTGGCCTTTTCCTGGCTACCCTCTATGATATCCAAACCTTGACTTTCCCACCACTCTGTCATAGTTTATCCTCCACCAAAGGTCAGAGCCATCCAGAGCCATCCCCTCTCTCACCTCACCCCTAGTCTGTTTCATTCCCTTCATTTATTCACATTTTAATGAAGGTGGCAACCATTTGCTCTCTGATTCCTATTATTTAGTCAAAGATTTAGTTTCAGTTTTTTTTGGGGGGGAGGTGGGCTATATAAACTGTAGGCCCTTCCTCCAGCTAAACGATTTGTTAACAACTTCATTAATTAGTTCATCTGTTCATTGAGACTTTCATTAAAATGTTCAATATGCACACAGGATAGGCCTGGTCCCTATAAGAAGTGCCTGATATTATGGGACACAAGAACGAGCAGATGGGTCTCCTGTCATCCTCAACAGTAAAACAGAACATAGAAATGAGGTAAGAGTTCTAAGGATTATACAGAGAGAAAACGAAGGATGTGAGAGTGTTCTGAGAATGCCTCTGTGAAGGGATGGCAGTTGATAGAAATGCCAAGTTCCTGGAGTCAAGGACTTTGTTGGAAAGAAGACCAGACAATGGGAATGTTGAAGGTGAGAAGCAAGGTGTTACATCACACAAAGGTGCAGGTGGAAGGTCTGGCTTAGGAACTTCATGAACTGGAATAGGCCCCTTCAAATTCTTCCCAGAAGTTCAACCAACCCAGGCTGCATCCATAGTGTCTTGTCAACCTGAATCTTTCAACACCACCTCCTGGGTTTGATGCTTCTGTGCTCACCAAGTCATCTCCCAGGTCCTGAGGACCGTGCTATACTGGAAATTTCTACAACTACTGCGTGTTCCAGTTCTGCCTGCCAGCCTGAATTTTCTCCTGGCACCTGCCATCTACCTCCACCACCTTTAAGTCAGTGAACAGCTCTGATTCTGGGTCTCTTGAACATTACCCAGCCCTCTACACCTGACTGTGTTCTACAGGACACTGCTCAAAATTCATCACTCAGTAAAATATACAAAAAAACCCAATATTTGAAAGAACTTTGGAAAGCTCTATGATTCTAACACCATATTTCTCATAAGTAGTGTGCTTATCCGTTTTGCTTTTTTTTTTTTTTTTTTTTGGTTTTCTTTGTGTTATTTGTTTCTCAACACAATCATTAGCAATGTCAGAACAGGTTTCAAAAAAAAACCACAGACCATTTCCTGGAAAAGAAAGCAAGAAAAACTCTTGAAAAGAAACTGCACAGCATCCTGTGAACCTGAAAGCTCTTTGAAACAAGCCAGTTCTCATTCTTCTCTGAGAGCCCCCCAGGTATAGCTCACGAAACTCCTGTGGTATGACCCCACCCAGAATGTTTGCTGTGACACTCCTGATCTTAAAAAGAACACATTTCTGCGTGTTCAGGACTGTAGCTATAGTGTTAATGCTATGCAATATATTTGAAATTTTGGAATACATTATTATCTGAAGATTTTTGAAATTGAGATATCATTTCTATGTCACATAATTCACACACTGAAGGCATATAATCCAATATTTTACTATGTTACCAGGACTGAACATTCCAAACCATCACCTGAATTGATTTTATGACATTTCCATCACTTAAAGTTCAATGACATTTAACAGTTATTCCCAATTTTCTCCCTTCACCCACATATCCTCTAACCTCAAAGTCCCAGGGCCTCTTGGCAAGCATGCATTAATTTTCTTTTGCCATTTAGTTGCCTATTCTGGATATTTTAAAATTCCGTATTTCTAACTTTTGTATATGGTGATTTGATGAGCATCTCTCCATCATCCATGCCTCTGGCCATCACTCTTCTATTTTCTACTTCTAAGTTATCACTAGCAACACAATGAATGAGCCTCTCATGCCTTAACATCTTTGCTCATGAATCATCCTCTGCCTGGGATTTTCTCTCTGCTGGTTCTTTCCCATCCCTTAAATTTAGCTTAAGTGTTACATTCTCAGAGAAGCCTTCTGCATTAGAAAAGTCGGGCTGTGTGGGTGGTATAGCAACACCAACACCCAGTCCTAGTGACTTTACAATACATTTATTTCTGATTTCCAAACTTATGTTCCCTGGTGCTTGTCTTCCGCACTACCTTGAAATTTAGCGTTTTCACCTCAACCCAAGGCCTCCTCATGTTCTGTATTAAATTGTCAAAGTTTCTATAGAGAGAAATAGAATGAACTGAGCGCAGTTGTTTAGTCAAGTCCTCAATTTCAAATTTTTTTTTTGCTGCATAAATTGTCAGCCTTCTCCCTCAACTAAATTAGTTAATTTGTTAAATTAATTAATAATTTGTTTTATATATCTACACACACACACATACACACACACACACACACACACACACACACACACACATATGAAGGAACTTATCAGGTTGGCTTACAGGATCAGAGGCTGAATTGTTCCACAATGGCCATTGGCAGAGTGGAGAAGCAGGAAAATCAGTAACTCCTCAGTCCCAGAAATCTGGAAGTCTCTAAACAAGAAGACCATTGATGCAGCTCCAGTCTGAAGCCAAAGGCCTGAAAACCTCTCAGAGAGCTGCTAATGCAAGGCTGTCTCCGAAGCTGAGAAATGTGGAATCTAATGTCCACAGGCTATAGCTGCAGCAAGAATGCACCACCTGGGAGGGATTGAGTATGCGCACTGATCTGGTTCCTGTTCTTTAACTTTTTGGTTCTCTCTGGGCTACCAGCCCACCATCCGATGTGCAGCCCATGCTTGGGGCCTATCTTCCCCACTTGGTTCACTGACTCATTTGCCAATCTTCCTCAGAAACACGCTCACAGACGTATCCCAAAGTGAGCCATATTAAGGCATCCCTTAACATCTTCCTTGCTGGCCACAGCAGGAAGAGTGCTGGGTGATCTCCCAGCAGCCATGGGAGGCTTCATCACAGGCTGTGGTCCACCTTACTGCAAGAAGACAAGGCATGGCAGTCCTCCTTTTCGCCAAAAGGAAAGGGGTGGTTTCTAGTGTCTGTCGCAGTGTATTTTGTTTCACTTGTCCTCTTCCACACAGAACCTAACTTCCTTCCCCAAATTTCAAAGTCCAAACTTGTCACAGCGTGGAGCTCACAGCCCAGAGTCTCCAGGTTATGTGGGATCACCTCTACATAAGTATTCATGTGGCCCCTCTTAGTTGACAAAAAGACCTGTGACCTAGCAATAATAGATTAATCTGTTCCCTGTAAAAATAAACAGTAAATAAGAGCCAGGAAGGCCATCTACGGGAAATATTTAATCCCAAAAGAGGAAAATGGAAGCTGGGTGCAGTCCACACCACCTTGTTGCCATTCTGACACTAGTGTCAACTTAACACACCTGGGTTGAGGGAGCCTCA